AACCCTATAAACCCTAAACCCTATCTTGCGAAAAGTTAGAATCGCCACCAAAGCCCCTGAGGCGGAGCCTGCTTGAGGGGCGTCGGGTTCTGTTTGGGGTTTATAGGGTTTAGGGTTTAGGGTTTCAGGGTTTAAGGTTTAGGGTTTTAGGGTTTAGGGTTTAGGGTTTTAGGGTTTAGGGTGCAGGGGCTTCGAGTTCAGATGTACCATCTGTTGCTTTGGCGTCTCGGCGACGGTTGTTCCCGTCTTGGAGAAGACGCCCGAACTCGTGTTGTGTTACATCTGTAGCGTTCGTCTGTTGTTGCTGAGGGTTGAGCTTTTACCAGAGAGCCCAATACCCCTAAATTAAGGAATATACCCTAAATCACAATATTAAGGCCCCTATAATCTAAGGTATATTCCTTAATTACCGGGTATTGGGCTCGCTGGGTAGGTCGTGGCAGCCGGAGAGGCTCCCTCGTCGTGTCCATGAGTGTCCCCAAGTACTTTTGCTGGCTTTTTCTACGTCAAGGTCTCTGTCTTTGGCTCCTCAAAAGAAGACGTCACTCTTGCAAGTATCACCGGAAAACATGAAGCAACTATACCGTCTCCTTCTTCAGCTTGTGTTGAGTAGGCCTTCAAGCCCTGCACCCTGAGGGCTTAGGCTAAAAGCTCTAGAGCCTGGGTTAAACTGTAAGCACCCAAGTCCCAAAGCTCTTTACCATTCTGAGCCATTGCTGAATGTTCTGAGCAGCTTCACCATCCCCACACCACGTGAAACATTCAACGATTACTGTTAATTACTTCCGATGATATCGTAAGTTGTACTGGAGAGTTAGCGGTCTATCCCCACAATCGCTGTCATCATCGCTTGTAAGTCACTAGTACAGGCGGCCTGGTCGCCTTGACCGCCTTGCGCCGGTTGCATGGACGGCACACTGTCTCGGCGCCACCGAAGGACCGTGTAGCGCTTAGGGCTTCGGCTGTTGAATTTGGGATTAGGGTTTAGGGTTTAAAGTAAGATTGAAGGCTACGGACTGGAGTGAAATTCCGGTTCACATGGAAAGGCCTTCGGACCATGCCCCATTTGCAGGAGATTCTTCTGCCTGCACATTCTCAGAACCCACCGCACTCTGTAAACGAACACAATCAACGCGGCTTTTGGCACAAACATTGAGTCGTTAATGTAATTATGATTCGCTATCAGTATTATTACTGTTACTAAACCATGTACTCGCCTCCAGCAGGTGAGTGAGCCGACAGTCAAAAGCGGCGCCTGACTTGTGCCCCTCGGCTCAATCAAGCCGTGCAGTCTGCCAGCTACCCATAGGCCGCTAAGTAGTTCCTTTTCGGGATTACCTTATAGGATTCTAAATATAAGCCACAAAAAGGAACTACTTAGGGGCCTATGGGTAAGGCGTCCATGTGCCGAATTTGCCGATACTGCCTGAAGATTTGGGCTCACAGCAGCTTACATCGTCCGGTCATCTCCTGCAGCCTCGAGGATGCGCTGCTGGACGTTCCTGGTGGTGCTCCAGATTCTCAACGGCTCCTGCGCCTATGCAGCAGAGAGCTGTGAGACCGATGAGCTAGCGGCTGTTCAGGTGCTCCGTCGCAGTGAAGATGCAAGACCCCGAAGGCTCATTCGCAAGTTCAAGCGTGCCATCTATGAGTGGAGCAAGAAGAAGCACTACTACTACAAGACCACCACGCCTGCTCCGCCTCCGCCGCCCCCACCGTCTCCTCCCAGCCCAGGCTGCGGGAAGGGTTGCTGCACCTTCAACCGCATCGGATTCTTCCAGGCTTGTCAGCAGCTCAATGCGACATGCGACAACACGACAGAGACGTTCGAAGTTGATTCAGTGGATGTGACGGAGGACTTGAAGACAGCGGTCTACACCAGCTCGAAGGCAAACGCGGGCGTCTACACGGTAGGTTTCGTGGACATCACCGATGCGGCCGTGCCGACACTGCTGGGTACACTCGGATTTGACACGCAGCCCACCGACGTGGCAGTGAAGGGCTTCCTCGCGCTGGTGACTTTCGACAATGGAACCGAAACAGGTGAGCTCAAAGTGATCAACGTCACGGACCAAAGCGTCCTGCGCACCATCGATCTTGCAGGTTTGCCCGACTCTGTGGACATCAGCCCGGATGAGACCTGGGCCGCCATTACCATCGAGGAGCCTGGCGTCCTGGAGCGCGTGAACATCTCCGACCCGGATCCCATGGCCTGGACCACGGACATCATTAACCTCACCGGTCTCCCGGGAGTTCTTAACGCCAGCGATCCGAGGCCCTCGCAGGTCGACATCCGCTCGGACAACGTGGCGGTGGTCACACTGCAGGAGAACAATGCCCTCGTCTTGGTGAACCTGACGAATGCCTCCGTGATCACCAGTTTCTCGGCTGGCGCCACGAACATCACCGACATTGACATCTTCGAGGACCGGAGGATCATCTTGAACTCAACCCTGACGAATGTCACCAGGGACCCCGACGGTGTGGTCTGGTTGGGCAACTTAGTTCTCCAATACCCAACCTTTAAACTTTGTGGGTTCTTATAACGTATAGTAGTAGTCTGAAAGTTTACCTTTTTGTTTTTTGAACCCTAGACCCTAAACCAGTGGGGAAGTAAGGCAAGAAGTCGGAGTTCTTCGCCACTGCGGACGAGGGAATCACCGAAGCAGGAGGTAGCCGCTCCTTTTCGGTCTTCAATGAGGACGGCGAGATTGCCTTCACCTCAGGACACTTTTTAGGGTTTAGAGTACAGGGGTTTAGGGGTTTAGGGCTTGTGCAGTAATTGCCGTAAAGGTGTTGAGACACAAACCCCTGATGAACCCGCAGGAAATTTGCTGGAGCTCCTGGCTGTAAGGCTCGGGCACTTCCCGGACGAGCGCTCTGAGATCAGGGGCATCGAGCCTGAGAATCTGGCATATGGACAGTTCCAGAACTGTGAGATGCTCTTCGTCCAATCCGAGCAGGCGAGCCTGACATATGTCTTCGAGGTTTCGAACGCAAGCAACCCGAAGTACCTGCAGGCACTGCCCTCAATCAGGACCCCAGAGAAAGGGAGGGTTGTCCCACGAAGGAATCTGTACATTACAGCCTCTGAAGCTTCCAACCTCGACCTGGATATCCGATCCGGCCTGAACATCTACCAGTGCCAGTCACTAGGCAATGTTGCTTTGTAGGGCCGCTTTTGGTAGGGCCGCTGCAGGGTCTGTAGAGGAATTTTTACCGCGCTTCACAGGGCTTTTCTAGAGCACTGCATGGGAAGTAAGGTCAACGCAATATCCATTCTTGGAGTCCAGAAACGTGAATGGCCTGCCCATTCCTTGGGGATCTATTGCGGGACTTACAGGAGAGGGTAATGACACTCTCTGGGCCGTCGAGGGCGCGTTCTTTGCTGAGCCGCAGATCCTGGAAATCCAGAGTACCAGGCACCCCCCAAGGATCAATAGAGCCATCAGCATCACCTATCCGAACGGCACCTTCTTGCAAAACCTCAACATTTCCGGAATCGACATCAACGACGAGGGCTTCGTGATCGTGGACCAGACGACAGAGAGCCTCCTGCTCCTCAACAACGGTGGTGTCCTCCAAGACTCTTTCGCAATCAACAGCAGTGATGCTCCATCCGGCGTGGCATATGACCCAGATGTCGGCTATGTGGTCACTACGTACGGGGGGACGGTGATAGTGTGCAACTTGACGACACCGGTGTGCGGCGAGATGAACTACACTTATCCCCTGGACGCTCCGGAGTCACAGGATGGTGGGGTGGTCGCGCTTCGCGACATTGCAGCACTTGGCGATGGCCACTTCCTGTTCCTGGAGACGGATGGCCAGGGCGGCTTCGACGCAGCCGTGCGGCGCATTTACAAGGCAGAGCTACCAGAAGGCAATGAGACGGTGATTGAGAAGACCTTGGTGGAAGATTTCTTGCTGGAGCTGCAGGACTAGAGTAGTGACTAGAGCTTGCCCCTGTAGTCCTAAGACTCAAAAGCCTTACTGACCTCAAAACTCAAATCCTAAAGCCTGAAAGCCAGGACTTACGGGGACCTGTTCTGCAACGTTTCGACAGCCTGGCCGTCACCGGGGACTTGGAGGAGCCTTACACCACGGACAAGATCACGCTGTGGGTCGTCAACGACAACGGTGGGACCGATGACACCAACGGTGAGACGCAGCTGCTGCCTCTTATCCAACACGTCTATCAGTGAGCGTGCTGCTGCCGGCCTGTGGTTAGGATAGTGGCCAGGAAGATCCAACACGAACATCCCTGAAGTTAAAGCTTCGCGGGTAAATCAGCTTCAGACGTCTGTGTTCCAACTTTCCAGAAACCATAGACGTTATCATCGTGGACCCGGCATGGGTCTTAGTCCGAAGAAGATGATACAGTGCCGGCAGAAAGCCTGACGTTGCACTCCACAAGCAAGTGCGACCACTGAACTATAGCTATGTCGAGGTACGTTCCCAGACAGGGCTCTTCAATAAATTGAGTTTTGGCTCGTGCGCGCGCTAGCACAGCACATGAGCATCCCCCTGTCTTCGGTTTGTGAAACCTGCGTCTGCTTCATACGCAAGACTGGACGCAGTTGAGAGCGAAAACGTTCGAAGCTGTGCTTCAGACGAGAAAGTGACCTCAGGCCCAGCAGGCAAAGATGAGGCCATCAGGTTACTCAGGTGCCGGTGTTGACCAAGCTGTGTGATGTGATCTCGGCCGTGTGCAAAGCAGGCCGAGTACCTGTTTTGCTTGGTGGGTTGCCAGAATCGGAACATGTCCGGACAACCCAGGTCTTCGACGCAACGGCCTGTAGCGATGATGTGGTTCCCCCATGTCGTCTGTGGACACCGCGACCCTGGCCTCGCTTTTGCCATCTGCGCCTTAGCTGCCTACGACACGTTTCGCTGTGGGATGTTAGCCGTGCTTCTTCTGTCGAGGTTTGGGCGATTCATAGCACCTCTGTAGGGTTCCGTGAGTGCAGTTTTTGGAATATAGGCGCCGAAAGAGGTACGTATTGTCAATCCTGTACCGTACATTAAACAAAAACGCCTTTATGGTAAACCTTATAGAATCTCCTTGCATTACAGAGCCCTTACAGTAACCCTTCTATAATCTTTCGAAGAACCCCTGGAAGGAACCCTATCCTAAACCATGATGCTCCCTTTCAGGGCTCCTCGCAACCCTAAACCCTAAACC